TAGCCCATCTATCCTCCAATAGCTGTTTATATCTTACCCTAACTGCCTCCTCTTTTAGTTTATAAACCTTCACCTCTCTCTTCCCTGATGCTTCTATTCTCCTTGTATCCCATCTACCTTTTACTCTCAGTGTAGCTACAACTAGAAAGTGATCTGATATATCTGTGGCCCCTCTATAAACATGTACATCCTGAAGTCTACTCAACAGTCTTTTATCTACCAATACATAATCCAACAAACTACTGTCATTTCGCCCTACATCATATCGTATATACTTATTTATCCTCTTTTTCTTAAAATATGTATTACCTATAACTAAACCCCTTTCTATACAAAGTTCAATCAAAGGGCTCCCATTATCATTTATATATATATATATATATATATATTTAGGTAGTAGGTTGGTAGACAGCAACCACCCAGGGAGGTACTACCGTCCTGCCAAGTGAGTGTAAAACGAAAGCCTGTGATTGTTTTACATGATGGTAGGATTGCTGATGTCTTTTGTCTGTCTCATAAACACGCATGATTTCAGGTATGTCTTGCTACTTCTACTTACACTTAGGTCACACTACACAAACATGTACAAGCATATATATACACACCCCTCTTGGGTTTCTGCTATTTTCTTTCTAGTTCTTGTTCTTGTTTATTTCCTCCTTACCTCCATGGGAAGTGGAACAGAATTCTTTCCTCCGTAAGCCATGCGTGTTGTAAGAGGCGACTAAAATGCCAGGGCAAGGGGCTAGTAACCCCTTCTCCTGTATATATTACTAAATGTAAAAGGAGAAACTTTCGTTTTTCCTTTTGGCCACCCTGCCTTGGTGGAAAAACGGCCGATGTGTTGAAGAAAGAAAGATAATATATATATATATATATATATATATATATATATATAGGTAGTAGGTTGGTAGACAGCAACCGCCCAGGGAGGTACTACCGTCCTGCCAAGTGAGTGTAAAACGAAAGCCTGTAATTGTTTTACATGATGGTAGGATTGCTGGTGTCCCTTTTTTTCTGTCTCATGAACATGCAAGATTTCAGGTACGTCTTGCTACTTCTACTCACACTTAGGTCACACTACACATACATGTACAAGCACATATATACACACCCCTCTGGGTTTTCTTCTATTTTCTTTCTAGTTCTTATTCTTGTTTATTTCCTCTTATCTCCATGGGGAAGTGGAACAGAATTCTTCCTCCGTAAGCCATGCGTGTTGTAAGAGGCGACTAAAATGCCAGGAGCAAGGGGCTAGTAACCTCTTCTCCTGTATATATTACTAAATGTAAAAGGAGAAACTTTCGTTTTTCCTTTTGGGCCACCCTGCCTCGGTGGGATACGGCCGGTGTGTTGAAAGAAAGAAAGAAGTCTGCTGAGTATACCTGGTAAAGTGTATGGTAGAGTTATTATTGAAAGAATTAAGAGTAAGACGGAGAATAGGATAGCAGATGAACAAGGAGGCTTTAGGAAAGGTAGGGGGTGTGTGGACCAGGTGTTTACAGTGAAACATATAAGTGAACAGTATTTAGATAAGGCTAAAGAGGTCTTTGTGGCATTTATGGATTTGGAAAAGGCGTATGACAGGGTGGATAGGGGGGCAATGTGGCAGATGTTGCAAGTGTATGGTGTAGGAGGTAGGTTACTGAAAGCAGTGAAGAGTTTTTACGAGGATAGTGAGGCTCAAGTTAGAGTATGTAGGAAAGAGGGAAATTATTTCCCAGTAAAAGTAGGCCTTAGACAAGGATGTGTGATGTTCACCGTGGTTGTTTAATATATTTATAAATGGGGTTGTAAGAGAAGTAAATGCAGGGGTCTTGACAAGAGGCGTGGAGTTAAAAGATAAATAATCACACACAAAGTGGGAGTTGTCACAGTTGCTCTTTGCTGATGACACTGTGCTCTTGGGAGATTCTGAAGAGAAGTTGCAGAGATTGGTGGATGAATTTGGTAGGGTGTGCAAAAGAAGAAAATTAAAGGTGAATACAGGAAAGAGTAAGGTTATGAGGATAACAAAAAGATTAGGTGATGAAAGATTGAATATCAGATTGGAGGGAGAGAGTATGGAGGAGGTGAATGTATTCAGATATTTGGGAGTGGACGTGTCAGCGGATGGGTCTATGAAAGATGAGGTGAATCATAGAATTGATGAGGGAAAAAGAGTGAGTGGTGCACTTAGGAGTCTGTGGAGACAAGGAACTTTGTCCTTGGAGGCAAAGAGGGGAATGTATGAGAGTATAGTTTTACCAACGCTCTTATATGGGTGTGAAGCATGGGTGATGAATGTTGCAGCGAGGAGAAGACTGGAGGCAGTGGAGATGTCATGTCTGAGGGCAATGTGTGGTGTGAATATAATGCAGAGAATTCGTAGTTTGGAAGTTAGGAGGAGGTGCGGGATTACCAAAACTGTTTGTCCACAGGGCTGAGGAAGGGTTGTTGAGGTGGTTCGGACATGTAGAGAGAATGGAGCGAAACAGAATGACTTCAAGAGTGTATCAGTCTGTACTGGAAGGAAGGCGGGGTAGGGGTCGGCCTAGGAAAGGTTGGAGAGAGGGGGTAAAGGAGGTTTTGTGTGCGAGGGGCTTGGACTTCCAGCAGGTATGCATGAGCGTGTTTGATAGGAGTGAATGGAGACAAATGGTTTTTAATACTTGACGTGCTGTTGGAGTGTGAGCAAAGTAACATTTATGAAGGGGTTCAGGGAAACCGGCAGGCCGGACTTGAGTCCTGGAGATGGGAAGTACAGTGCCTGCACTCTGAAGGAGGGGTGTTAATGTTGCAGTTTAAAAACTGTAGTGTAAAGCACCCTTCTGGCAAGACAGTGATGGAGTGAATGATGGTGAAAGTTTTTCTTTTTCGGGCCACCCTGCCTTGGTGGGAATCGGCCAGTGTGATAATAAAAAAAAAATATATATGTATATATATAGAGGGGCAACTGATATATTGGATCATTATTTAGTTGTAGCTACAGTTAGTTAGATTGATGGACTGAACACATCGACTCAAGGTTGAGGGACTGATTACCTCATTCTCCTCCTGTTCTTCAAGTTTCTCCTACGTATGGACTGATGAAGCCACTGTGTGGCGAAACGTTTCCTCAATAAAGATACCCAAGAGTTGCACATGTGTCTAATTTATCAACATGTCGGTTCTCTGAACCATTCATCTACAAACCTGTCAGACACTGCAACTTCTTGGGATCTTAATACTTAGGAATTCTTCGCCTGCCTAATTCTTGGGCACGACCTACTTCCACATTGAACAAATGTGACACTACCTATGACTTCTGCACCTCTCCTGCCATACGGTTTATAAGCTGCTTCTCCGCTGATATGCCGTATTCTATTCAAGACTGATGGACTGAACACATCGACTCAAGGTTGAGGGACTGATTACCTCATTCTCCTCCTGTTCTTCAAGTTTTTCCTACGTATGGACTGATGAAGCCACTGTGTGGCGAAACGTTTCCTCAATAAAGATACCCAAGAGTTGCACATGTGTCTAATTTATCAACTACTAAATGTAAAAGGAGAAACTTTCGTTTTTCCTTTTGGGCCACCCCGCCTCGGTGGGATACGGCCGGTATCTTGAAAAAAAGAAAGATATATATATATCAATAACAACACTGTGACTAGCCATGGAGTCAAACCCATGCTGTTTTGGCCTACCTCATGGTGAGCGAAAGACAGATGATGCTCTAGTCCACAGGACCACACAGTTCTCAAGAATGACGCATCCAGCCAAGCTAGATGTTGCACCAGTCATCCAAGAACATATGGTGGTGTGGATGCCTCTAAGATAATTTTATTCTACTCCCTGTTTGGTGTACTAGCCCAATGAGCAGTATTTTATATTATTGCACCCATATTTATTTTTTGTTGATAGTTACATGAATCATCACTCTGAGGGCTCAGTTTTGGACCAGACCTGAATGAGTGGTAGGTCAGTCAGGCTGATGGTGCTCACTGAATATTCACTATCACTGAATCAATCGCTGTCTTGCCAGAAGTGTACTGACAATGCAACTCAGATTACCCTCTGAATGTAACATCCCCACCTAATGTGGTATCACCAAGGGAGTAAGATGTGGCAGTGTGGTATCACCCTTGGTGATACCACACTGCCTTTTAATTTCTACACTCCAAAATCTTTGCATAATACAGTCTCTCCTCATTTAACAATGGAGTTCTGTTCCTAAGACCACGTTGTTAAACGAATTCGTCACTAAGTGAGGAGCATACTATAATGGTAGTGGGTTTGTGTCAACCATCTTTGATATAGTTTTAATGTCACCTCTGCACCATTTATAACATTTCTGGTATATTTTTAAATGTTTATACAGTAGTGTACTGTATACTGAAATAAATGGAATAGAGGAAATCAGCTCTAATATACATTATTTAGGTATACATACTGATCAGAGAGCCCATCGTAAGTCCGAGGTGTCAGTAAACGAGTACGTCGCTAAGTGAGTAAAGGTTGTATTCACATCACACATTGTTGTCCAACATGACATCTCCACTGCATCTATTGTTACATCTAATTATTCTATTGCATTTCTATATAGGACCACTGAAGCAAAGCTACCTAAGTGATAAGAAGATTCTCAAACAATGATTTCTTACTACCAAAATGACATAACCTATTGTTTTAAATACAATATATAATGCTGATGTATGTGCTCCTCGCTTAGGCTAGTATTTTGCAGGATTAAATTTCAAAAATAAATGTATGTAAACACAATGAGTGCAATTACCTATTAATAATTGCCTATTTATAGTGCTCCATCTTCACTGATTAATGCCAGGTGGCTGAAGCATTCATCACAATTCACTAATCCACAACTATGAAAATACTTTTTAACCTTTCCTGGCATCACTTTTCCCTCGGCATATGATACTCACCTTATTCTTACCTAGCCGCATTTGTGGGGATGTTTGTGCGTGCTCAGTTTTAATGCACAAGAAAAAGCAAAAATAAAAACACATCTAAACTCGTACTTTCAACGTCTACAGGATGAGATGTGTGAAAATTAGCATTTATCAGCTGGTCACGAAGCTTGGATAAGCGACGACAAAGAGCATTCACATCTGTCTCACTATTGTCCATGTCCTGCTCTAAACGTGATGCAAGAAATGCATTCTCCTGTGCCAGTTCCGATACTTTCTCCTAAAAAAATAAGAAAAAGATATACAGTAAATATATCTAATGCATTCAGTACATAAAAAGAATAAATTCAAGAATTATAGATATATGTATGTATTAGGTTTTTAGGCTCACCAATTTAAAAACTTGTATGCCAATACAGTAATGTAAAGAAGTTAGACAAACTAAAGAAAATCTGGAGGACCAATTTTAAGATACTGACAAAAAACTATCATTCATTTGAAAAATCCAAGATTGTCATAAAACTAACTTAAAACAAGAAAACTTTCTGAGAAATGATACACAAAGACCATGTGAGACAATGTCTGAAGACACAACATATGTACATAGTAAGTTTGTTGTAAGTATTCATTGTTGTTCCAGTGTCAAAATGGTTCTTCCCAATGACATTTTAGAAAGATACATAAACTTTAAAAGTAAACTATGGTAATTCCCACCTTGTATTAGATTTTGCATACTTTAATTCCAAACCTCTCCCCAACACCCCAGCATTCACTTCTTTTACAAATCCATCTATAAGTTAAACAACCATGGTGACATCACACATCCTTATCTAAGGCCTACCATTACTGGAAAACAATCTCTCTCTCTCCTACATATCCTAATCTGAGCCTAACTTTCTTCATAAAAACTCTTAACTGCTTTCAGTAACCACAGTGACTATGCCTTCGTCTACTACCCGTCCTTTTACACATGACGTTAGTATATAAGCGTCAGCCTTCTTACCTGTCCTCCAGAATCTTCACGACTACGTTGCTCTTCACACCAACTGCAAGGCTGAGGGATTGATTACCTCATCTTCTGTATATAGTTCTATTGTCTCCAATTATGTCCTAGAATTTGTATTGATAAAGCCACTGGATGGTGAAACGTCTACAATGAAGATACCCATGTGTTGCACATGTGTCTTAATTTTCATCACAACTGCCACTCTCTGTTGTTTTCCTGGTATAATAGGTGAGTTTGCTTGAAGTTCATGAGATGTACATGTGCATTCCTGTGTATCACATAGGCATTCAGTTTGTCATTCATCCTACTTGTGCATCTATATTCTTGTAGTTGGGTGTCCAAGTCCCCTGACGTTCGAGCTATATAAATGAGATTTCATTCACCACGTTAAATACTGTGTACCCCTGCCCTAACTGTGTTCTTAGCACCACTACTAAAATGTCAGCTGTACGAGGTGCGATGGAAGTTGTTGTCTGTTCAGCGGGTAGAATCAGCCTGTGATCAATAGTACTATTCTCCCAAAGATTTGAAAATGTTAAGACCTTTAGCATCACAGGCATTGATAATGTGCTTAGGAAATTTGTAAGTGGAAACAGTTCTATGTATTCTTGTTCTGCCAGTCATCATGAGATTAGAAATGGATTAGATAAATTTTATTTATTGATTTACTGAAGATTTTAGTCTTGAAGGTGTCATTATCCCTGATAAGAACATCAAAAAATGGCAGGGAGTTCCACTTTCAAGGTGACCTATATAGAGGGTTCCATTAGACTGAGTTGCTCCCTGAAGCAATGAAGCTTAAAACATATGGATATGATGACCACGCAGGATGGATGACACACTGAATGTGTGCGAGATACACAGTAATAAACATACACATCTCATGAACATCAATGCAAGCCTACTTCTTAAACCAGGAAAGCAAGAGAGAGGCAGCATGTTTTTAATCAGTAGCTACACTTCTTTCTATAACCCCCATACAGAACTTCATCAAAACTAAAATTATGAAACAACATGAAAAACATAAATAACCAGGATCTGACCTCATGATTCAGGCCACCTCTAATGATACCTGACCTCACTGTATTGCCTCACAGGTCACTGCACCTGCACCAGTTGTGACATCTCACCTTTAAACATGCTGAACACTGACTCCACCACGTCTCAGTGCAAAATAAATGCTGCTCGTTATGATATTCTTAGCACCTGATAGCCTCATTTAGGTGAAACATCATACTAATGAGCATCATCATTTGCTGTATGTATTTTTTACCAACAGGTTTTTTTTATTTTGACTTTTAGACAATTTTCAAAAAAATTATATGCCATTTTTGGAAACCCAAGGAACTTTACCCTATATTTTCTATATGTTCCTGACTTGGAGTAAAGTACTGATTTTTAGGAATATAGTCCAAGCAAACTGAAAAACAGCCAAAATGTATCTGGCAATGAAGTGGCCAGAAAAATTGGTAACATTCAAATTTCAAAGTTTATCACTGATAGTAAGCAAACAGGCCATTCCAAGGGTGAAAAATCCCAACCAACAGGTGAAACAAGTTCACGTAAATGACAAGCAATTTACCCACCAGGAGTAAGCAAATGTTACCTTCAGTTTATGGATGGCATGAAGGTCATCCTGCCGTGTCCGGTCGTAAGAAGCAACAGTGAGGGAGAGGTCAGCAAGCCGACCTTCGAGGGCTACCACACGGTCCTCATGGCATTTTGCCAACTCTCTTGCAGATTCTTCTACAACAGCAGCACGACTTATCTCCTGATTAAAAGGTAAACAAGGAATATTAATGTAAACAAATTGTACTGGACAGATAAGTAGGGAATACAGGAAAATAAGATTGAGCAATATCAGATGCCAGCTTATGTATATTCATAAAGAAACAAGGAGAAATTAATTTAACATACAAATGAAGAACATAACATTAACAAGAGAGTATTCTGGTGCTTTGAGCATATGAAGATTAACCTTAAATGAGACATGGTAATCTTAAGAGCAGTAAGATTTCAGTAGAATTTAATTTCTCCTTATTTGGCAATTTATGATGATGTATATTTTGGAGTGTCTACTAGCATACATGCTGAAGAGCCTGGTTATGTTGCATTCGCATTTCCTCCATCTGTCCCTGAATCTTGCGTAATATAGGTGGCTCCTCTGACTGCTGTTCTGCTCTCTTGAGACGAGATCGAACCTGAATCAGAAGCAAAAAATGGCATATGGGATTATAATATTCTATCTGTTGGAAATTTAAAGTTGCCTTTTCTTATGAACTTTAAATTATAAATTAAGAGCCTCATGTATGAGTCCTAAAAAATTCAGTGCATATATTTGAGGGAGAATATCCACAATATTTTATTACATAATTCTTTATTTAATACAAAAATTGGCAAAGCCCCACCCCCAAAAAAAAAAAAATGTATACATACATCACGTATAATCATCTTTCAGAAAATTATATACAAAAAGAACAATAATTTTTCAGACACTTATAAACAACAACCTTTGACATAACTTTGATGAGTTTTGAGAGTCTCACTACTCTCGGAACCCGGCCATGGGCCAGGCTCATCTGGTGCTTGCCTGGTCAACCAGGTTGTTGCTACTAGACCCCTGCTGCTCCACATATCCCTCACAGCCTGTTCATCTGGCACCCAGTGAAGATGCTTGTCCAGTTTCCTCTTAAAGGCTTCTGCACTTGTACCAGAAGATATCAATCTTCTGGTAAGATGTTGAATAGTCTGGGGCCATGAATGTTGATACAGTGTTCCCTTATTGTGCCCGCTGCACCCCTGCTCCTCACTGGGTTTATTCTGCACTTCCTCCCATATCTCTCACTCCAGTATGTTGTTATGGCAGTGTGCAGATTTGGGACCAGGTCCTCAGGTACTTTCCAGGTAGTATTTATGATGTATCGCTCTCTCCCCCACTCCAATGAGCACATGTTCAAGACTAAGGTATTCCCAGTAATTTAAGTGCTTTACTGGGCCAATGTGTGCTGTAAACGATCTCTGTATTTGTTCCAGCTCTGATATTTCTCCAGCTTTGAATGGGGTCGTCAGCACTGAGCAATATTCTAAATGAGGGAGCACTAGCAATTTGAAGAGTGTCACCATCTTCATTATTTCCTTTGTTTTTAAAGTTCTCAACACCCACACCATCATCCTCTTGGCTGTTGTGATCCTTGTCTTACTATGTTCTTTAAAAGCAAGGTCAGCTGACATAATTATTCCTAAGTCCTTTACGTGTTCCTTTCATTCTATGAAATTCCATCAAAGTGCAAAGGAAGAGCACAGTACATCCCTAAATAGCTGTTGTCAAAAGTAATAGGAAGGCTTTGGAGCCAGAGCTCAACTCAAGTAAACTCAGCTCTACTAAAAGTAAATGCCTTGAATTCTGTAGATGGAAAGTGCAGTGCCTGAACTCTGAAGAATGGGTAGAGTTTGCTGTCTGAAAGCTCACTTGAACTGTGATATCAACACACTTCTGACAACATAACTGTTGAGTAACAATAGTGAATGTGCTTCTAACTCGGGCACAAAATGACTGATGTTGTAAAACAAAAAAGTGAAAGGTAACCATAATGTAAACTGATGATCTGTAAACACATGAAGAATAAAAGGAGCAAATGCTACAAGAGAAAGCAGCTTAAATCAAAACAGAGTAGAAGCGCTTAGGCTACAATTAATGTTCACAAGAGTTAACACAAAGTTAACACTCTCACGTCAGAGGTACCTACCGGTAGAAGCTGTGGTAGGCAGAGACAGCGACAAAGCTAAGTGTCCTCATTGTTGATACCTAGTTTATTTGTTCTACAAGCTTATTTTAACCATACTTTGGCAAGATAAATTTTACTACACCCGATGAGGGTGGGGAATAGGGTTAGGCCTGGGGACAATTGGCCCCAGAAAATGAGGTACTTGTACCTACTCCCATGGCAGACATACGTCTCAGACACTCCTGTGATAGGGAGCCAGGGCTGGGTCGCAAACTGGCAGAGACCCGGGCCAGCAGTACCAGTGAATCAAAAAGAAAAATAGTGTTTATTACCTGTTCTAATTCATTCTGCAAATCAATGATCTTCTTTTCATAGAGTTCTTGAGGTCGATGGTTGGAGGTTGGTGTTAAGCGTTGGAGTTGTTGCTTGGCCTCATCCAGTGAGGCTTCCAGTCGTTCTCGTGTACTGCGTTCTACTGCTAGCTTGCTCTCTAATTCTCTGTACAAGATTAACATGCATGAGCGATCATTATAGTAGTAAACAAAATAAAAAAGTAAATAGATATTACTCTATTATTAAGTCCAGAACAAAATCTCTAAGATGGTTAAGCAAGTATGAAGTGTGTGAAAATTGGAATCTCAGCGTGAAACAAGCTTTTATGCCACAAGATGGGCGGAAAGCAGCAACTTCACTCTTGCTGTACCCTTCTCCAGAACATCACTCCATCTGAGATCATATACAGTGGACCCCTGCTTAACGATCACCTCCCAATGCGACCAATTATGTAAGTGTATTTATGTAAGTGCGTTTGTACGTGTATGTTTGGGGGTCTGAAATGGACTAATCTACTTCACAATATTCCTTATGGAAACAAATTCGGTCAGTACTGGCACCTGAACATACTTCTGGAATGAAAAAATATGGTTAACCGGGGGTCCACTGTACGCAGTAACTTTAAAACACTTGAAATTTTGGCAAGTTTCCTAACATAATAGATGTGGTCACGGAGAATGTAAACAAACAGGGTGGGGCACGCCGTATTTGAAAGACCGCTTGCCATATAGCAAATTTTGGTCATAATTTGACATCGCCGTATTAGCGGAACACCATAAGGCAAAACGCCGTAAAGCGGGGCCCTACTGTACCTTTATTGAAGACTCTTGTTGGCGTATGGAAGAAGGCAAGGAGGAGAGAGGGAGGAGAGTTTATTGTTTGTAAGGGAAATCCCAATCCATAAGGACTTCAGGTATCAAAGCCCTATCTGGGTTTACTTCCTTCTTTGTCTTTTACTGGCACCAGGACCAGCTTGAAAGTCACTGTACCCCTGTCACACAAAAAAAATCTGTCCAGAGAGATCTGTTTCTGGTGTCTGTTTAAGATTTACCTAAAATGGGACAAGGCATTGTCAATGAACATGTTGCTGACACAGCTTGCAACAGTTTTGTTAAGGAGATAATTCTCCACAAAACTTTGCACCTCACTCCACTTTGCACAAATGTCCTTAATCACCTTGCACAAATGTCCCTAAGGCCTCACCATGCCTTACCACACTGTGCATGCCACTTCGCTTCTTCAATCTGTTGAATCAGCCTTTGCTAGCCTTAAATTCACCAACAGCAGCACTCATTCCAGGCATTTTCTTCATGAGATCCGCATGCAACTGCCTTGCCTTTTCACAAATTATCCCCTCCACAACACTATCTCACACTAACTGTTTTTCATTGAACCACACCAACAACAACTTCTCCACATCTTCGACTGTGATCTCTGTTTCATTAGCATATTTACCCCTTTCACAACATCAGCTTCTTTGATTTTTACTTTCTTCGCCAGGATGGAACTGATTGTTGATTTTGACTTCCCATACATCCCGGTGAGCTTGGCGACATGTACGCCACTTTCTTGAAATCTATTGTGTTTCTCACTTTCTTTACCAAAGGGGTGGCACTCTGAACTTTCTTTGGCCCCATGGTGGTTTATTTTGCAGTCACACTCAATAAACAAGCACCATAAACAATACACCATAAACAGTACTGTTCAATGAACGAGTGACACAGGCAGACTGTGAGCAGGGTAAAAATTCGCCGAAAAAAGTGGTTGAAATCCAAATTGTATGATATTCGGACTGGACAAAAACTGGGGTTCCACTGTATTGAAATAGTAGTAAAATATAATGAACTATTAAAACTAGGTATATCAATAGCACCTAACAGTTACTGCACTAAAGCTATAATTAACTGTATACAGTAGACAGTAAAAAAAAGGTTTTAAAACAGTAGTACCTAACTTTGGATTGTATTGCCACTAACTTTATTACAGATTGCACACACTAGACAGTAAAAAAAATACAGTTCTATACTAATGAAGGATGGTAAAAGATAGTTACAAATATAAAAAAATACAATTGTATACATTTTAGGCAAACAAGATGGTGATCTTGAGGTGTCTAACAAGAGTATAAACTATAAGGTAGTGATTGGACAGCTTAGACAATTCACTGCTGTCAGACTGACAATATAGAAATGAGAAATAAGTTTTATAGAAAATAACTGGATGGAAAAAATTGGGGTTTCACAACACTACTCGTGGAAAGTGGGCACAAACTGCATTTTATTCTGACACAGTTAGGCCAGCATCACTCAGGAATTTTTTTAGTTTATGTTCAGTAAAAATGAAAGATCTCATTCCTGTCTATTCCTGTAAACAAACAAATGTAAACAAATCGGGTGGGGCACAGTGATTGTATTAGAAAGTCAGGTGGGGGAGCCGTATAGCAAGTTTTGGTCATAATTTGAAAAGTCCATATTAGAGGAACGTCATAAGGCAAAATGCCATACAGCAAGGCCCTACTGTACAGTACATTCATTACTTACTTTTAAATACTGTATCTGTAGTCTTAATGTAGGGTGAGAAGTAATTAAACGTGATAAAACGAATAAACGAGAGAGAGAAAATGAGTAAATGAGAGAGGACAGAGACGCAGAGTGTGTAAACAAACAGATGAACGTGTCTGGTTGTGGTTCGTACACATTCATTTCCATGTTTGATACCAACTTCATATGAACTAAATGCGATTCTTTATATTGACAAGTACTGATTTCTCTAACTTTATACTTATTGCCACCGATATGCTCAACTACTTGATAAGGACCAGCAAACTTTTGATCAAGCTTAGGATGTTTTGTTAAAGTTAGTCAGAATAACTCTCGAACCTACTTAAATTTTGGTCAGCTTTGCTCTAGTATTAGTGACTTGTAAATTCTGCTGTTGATTTATGAAGTGTTTTTCAGATTCTTCTAAAACACTTTGAGCTAAGCTGGTACAAGTTGCTATGAATCATCAGGGCTGTAATTTGGTTTCAAATTAGAATATAACAACTCATATGGTAGACACTTATCTACACTGCACAACACACAATGTGGAGTGTCACCTATAGAAGCATTGTAAGTAGAATTTATTGCACATTGAACATCAGGTATAACTTCATCCCAGGTTGCACTATTGGGACTGATAGTGGCTCTCAATACATCGAGTACTGTCTTTGTAGTTCTTTCCACTAAACCATTACTAACAGGGTGGTGAGGAACAATGGTTGATTTAGAGATCTTGTACAAAGTGCACAACTTTTCAAGAATCTCATTACAGAATTCACCTCCATTATCTGTTACTAGGGCCTTAGAGTTGTATGCCTGCAGATTATATGTTCTTTAAATGCTTTAGCTACTGTCTCAGCAGTCTTATCTGCAATAGGAACTAACTCACAATATCTGGTGAAATGATCTACCATAACACACAGGTGTTTCTTGCCCTGGAGGGAACATTGGAAATTAGTTAACAGATCTAGCGCAACTCTTTCCCATGGTTCGCTAGTAGTTGGATACACCTGGATTGGATTAGGACCACTAGCATTACCTTTATGCTGCATGCAGACACTACATTTCTTAACATACTCAGAAATGTCAGTTGCCATATGAGGCCAAAAGTATTTCAATAAGGCTTGTTTTACAGAATGATCCATACCAGGGTGTGCAACACCTGATACATCGTGAACTAGCTGTAAGGCTACATTCATTGGTGACTGTAGAATTACTAACTGGTATACCCTTCTGCTAGGAGCACCCAGCTCGGCTGTTTGATACAGTAATTCTTGGTTCCATGACAAAGTCACTGATGGGTGCTGGTGGCTTCACTGTGAGAATTAGATCTTCCTGGAGCAGGAATCGAATCACACCAGACCACATGGGATCTGTTCGTTGAGCATTCTTTATGCCCACGCACTAAATGGAGGGTGTCCTATTATAGTGCTAATATGTCTCGATAAAGCATCTGTGACTACATTTGATTTGCCAGGTAAGTGTTCAAAGGTAGAATTGAACTCTTGGATAGTCAAGGACCATCTGGCTAACCTTCCAGTAGGTTGTTTATTCTGAAATAAAGGTGAATCAGTGGAGCATGGTCTGTCAAGACATGTACAGGGTACTGATATATAATGTCTCAGAAGTGCTTTAAAGACCATACTATTGCTAAGGCTTCTTGCTCAGTTACTGTATAATTACGTTCAGCCTTTGTAATAACTCAGCTAGCAAATGCAACTGCGTTGTACTTGCTATCAGTCTTCTGAGCTAGGACAGCATCTATGCCAATTGAACTAGCATCAGTTGTTAGATAGAAAGGCTTAGAAAAATCTGGGAATCTCTTTGAGAGTCTGGAGTGCTCTTTCTTGACGGAAGGTCCAAACGAAAGGAGCATCTTTCCTAACCCTTTCAGGGTCCGTCCCGTAGATCTATGGCTTTACGTTCAGGGTCCAAACCGTAGATCTACGCCATGAGCTCAGCTCACTCTGATAAACTGTGAGTGGTAAATTTGGGCATAGATATGAGAGAATACATCTATGTGGTATGTGTGCACCACATAAAACAAATCCTACAGCACACTGTGTATAATGAGAGAAAAAACTGAGACAGTGATTTTCAATTAAAACAGCGACTTTGCAGTGTTTTTTCGTATGTTTTTTATAGTTGTATTTGCTATTTCTTGGTCTCATTTGATAGAATGCAAGACATATTACAGAAATAGAGATGATTTTGATTGGTTAGCACTGGAAATGGCTTGAAACTGAGCTCAAAGTAGCGGAAATGTTAAATTTTTGCCGTTCAAGAGTAAACAAACGACCTCTCACGTCTAATACATGCCAGCTGGTGGGTCTAATATACATTCACAAATGTGGTGATGATATTTATACAATTATTACAATATTGCATAACAGTAAATCTTCTATTTTTTGGTGTGAATAAAAATTCATTATGTGAATAATCAAAATGGAATTTATTTGTAAAGCCTCAAAACATAACTAATGAACAGAGGAAATGTTAGTTTAGTGCCAGGAATACCTACATTGTTTATTCTCGACCCTATTTTGAAATTGGAATATTTTGAACTTTGTGTTAAATTGGCCAAATTACCAATTTCTGATCACTTTATTTTGTAGTTGAAACAGTTGACTTGGCGATTTCTTGTGCTCAATCGATAGAACAGAAGTAATACTAGTGAAATAGCTAAGAATTTGGTCAACTGGAATAATGTAATTGGCCTAAAATGGGAGTCAAAGTCTGCAAAATCGCCGATTCGTAAATATCGCTGACACATCAAAATTCGCAAGAGCATAATTTCGTCAATTTTCCATCAAATTTCGTACTTTTTGTTTTATTACCTTCACAAAAAGATTCTCTACTATTTCATAAGAAAAAATAACATTTTTTTTTTTTTAAATTCTTGGACACTGGGGCACCACTTCAGATTTTGGCCTTGGACCCTGAAAGAGTTAAACAACTCAGTTAGAGGAGCTGCTATAGAAGAAAAATTAGCATGATCTATAAAAACCTGCTAAGCCCACAAAGGATCTTACATCATCAGCAGTTTTCGGAGACGGAAAATTTAATACTGCAGTTACTGTACTTTGGTCAGTTATAACCCCTCTAGGAGTGACTACATGACCAAGAAACTTGATTTCTGATTTGAAAAATTGACATTTAGACAGTTTGATCTTTAAATTGGCTTCTTCAAGCTTACCAAGTACCGTATCAAATCTTTTCAAGTGTGTTTCCACGTCTTCGGACATGACAATCACTCATCTAACTACACCATAAGTGCTTTACCTCTGAGCCTCGAGAAAGTGATAGGCGATGAGCGTAAACCAAAGGCGATTCTGAGGAAATGATAATGGCCTGTAGGAGTGGAAAATGCAGTTCGCTCTTGGCTGTCCTCATGGATAGGGACTTGCCAAAATCCTTGTAACAAGTCCAGAGTCGAAAAGACTTTGTTACCTCTGATATTACATAAAAGGTCCCCAAGTACAGGAAGTGGGAAGCAATCTGGAAATGGCAGAGAATCTTTTCCTAATTGTAATGACACCAAAAATACAAAATTTGATGGAAAACTTGCAGTATTATGCTCTCTCAAAGTTAACAGTCTCAGTGATATTTACGCATCAGAGATTTTGCCCACATTGAGCCCTCTTTTGGGCCAATTCCATTGTTCCAGTCGACCAAACTCATAGCTATTTTGCTAGAACTTTATTTGTTCTATTGCTTGAGTACAAGAAACTGCTTATTTACCGATTTCAACTACTCAATAAAGTGATCAGAAATTGGTAATTTGGCCAATTTCATACACAATTCAAGTAAGGCCAGTTTCAAAATAGGGTCCAGAATTAACAATACAAACATCCCTAGCACTAAAATAACATTTTGTCTGTTCATTAGTCATGTCACCGGGCCCCCTTTTTATAACATATGCTTTCCATTTTGAATTTTTATTCACACAAAAAATAGGATTTACTGTTATGCAGACCACTGCATTATTGTAAAAATGGTATAAATAATATCAGAGCATTTGTGAAAGCATATTAGATCCACCAGTTGTTGTGTATTGGACGTGTGATGTCATTTGTTTACTCATGAACATAAGAAAAATTGAACATTTTAGCTTCTTTGAGCTCAATTTCAAGGTACTTTTAGTCCATAAACCATTCAAAATCATCTTGATTTCTGTAATATATCTTCCATTAAATCAAATGAGGCCAGGAAAACAAGAATACAACCATAAATACAACACAAAAATGCACCGCAAAGTCAGTGTTTTAAACCAAAACCACAGTCGAAGTTCTTTTCTTCTAATTATGCACTGCATGCTGCAGGTTTTTTTTATACAGTGCACACTGACCACTTAGACCCATTCTCTCATATGTAGGCCTATACAGCTTTCTTCTGCAAGATTGGAAGCTGCTAGAATTTTGGTATAATATTACAGCACCAACACTGGCTTGCAAGCCATAACATTACGGCACCGACAGTAAAAGGGTTAATGAAAATGTTTGTATTAACGTAATATATGACATTTAATGCACCTCAGAGTGATTATTATTGCGTTTTATTATTATCATTATTAATACGGCATCTTCAAGACTAATAAGACACTCTTGGTGATTTTAACGTGTACCTGCATGCCACCAGAGTGTGAAAGTTTACTTAGGTACAGGTATACATAAGCATAATTATCAGAGTATATAAAAATATGAAATAACTTTAAAACATTTGAAATTTTTTAAAGTTTCCAGACATAATGGAGAAACGTGCTCATGGAGAATGTAAACAAACTGGGTGGCACATGGTAACCATATTAGAAAGTCAGGTAGGGGGAGCCGTATAGCAAGTTTTGGTCATACGTTTGAAATGTCCGTATTAGCGGAACACCGTAAAGCAGGGCCCTACTGTATATTGTAGCACCATATACTCTGGAATAACTCACACCAGTGCCATACCTTACAGGACTAAAGGTTCACCATCTTGTAGCATCATACACTCTGAAATAACTCACACCTGCACCATACCTAAGCATGACGGCAGCATTCTGAGTATCTTGATCACGTTCATGTTGGGCAACAATCAATCGACTTTTCAAATCATTAATTTTTCCATCTGTGGTGATCTCACTAGCTTTTCTAGCATCCAAAGCTTCCTGCAAATTCTTCTCCAACTATAAAGAGCAGAAAGTTTCAAAAATAAATGTCAGTAATCAAAAAACTTATTTGGGATACTATTAATATAAACTATAATATTACAGAGAAGTCAATTTTCTGAGGCTATGAAGCATCATTGCAGAGGCTTGAAAGATAATCCATTTGGTTTTTATCCAATAAGAAAAATGCATACAGTATGTAGAAACATGCATGCTTCACACAAGTGTAGCAGGCATGCAGAAAGTGTAGCAGACATGCAGGAAATGTAGCAGGGATGCAGGGAGTTTAGCAGGCATGCAGGAAGTGTAGCAAGCATGCAGGGAGTGTAGCAGGCATGCAGGAAGTGTAGCAGGAATGCAGGAAGTGTAGCAAGCATGCAGGGAGTGTAACAGGCATGCAGGAAGTGTAACTGGTCCTAGTGGCATTAAAAGACCAAGAAGTAACCCTGGATAAGGACTTGGTACCTGAAGTCCTTATGGAGGGGGATTCCCCTTCCAAACACTAAGCCCTCCATCTTTCCTCCTCCTATCTTCCAGAAGCCAGCATTAGTCTTCAATAAAGGTATGTAATATTTATATAATTGTTAAAAAAATTATTTTTTTTGTGTGTGAATATTTTTGTCTGGAATGGATTAACTGTATTTCCATTAATTCTTATGGGAAATATTATTTTGGTTTTTGACCATTTTGGTTTTCGGCCGACCTTCTGGAACGGATTAGAGCCGATAACTGAGGATCCACTGTATAAAACAAATTCCAACCACACAATAGAGCAAAAAACTAATGTGAAGGACCTGGGAGTGATAATAAGAACATAAGAACATAAGAAAGAAGGAACACTGCAACAGGCCTACTGACCCATGCAGAGCAGGTCCATGTTCCCCCCCCCCCAGATTAGCCCAATGACCTACCCAGTCTGGTCACCTCCACTCAAGGAAGGAGCACTGCACCAGACCCAGCAGCACAAGCTAGTCAGGTCCAACTCACACCCACCCACACCCACTCATGTATTTATCTAACCTATTTTTAAAACTACACAACGTTTTAGCCTCAATAACTGTACTCAGGAGTTTGTTCCACTCATCCACAACTCTACTATCAAACCAGTGCTTTCCTATATCCTTCCTGAATCTGAATTTTTCCAACTTGAAACCATTGCTGCGAGTCCTGTCATGGCTGGAAATTTTCAGAACGCTATTTACATCCCCTTTATTTATTCTTGTTTTCCATTTATACACCTTGATCATATCCCCCCTAATTCTACGCCTTTCGAGAGAGTGCAGATTCAGGGCCCTCAGTCTATCCTCATAGGGAAGATTTTTGATACATGGGACCATCTTTGTCATCCTCTTCTGTATGTTTTCCAGGGCATTTATATCCATTCTGTAATACGGTGACCAGAACTGAGCAGCATAGTCTAAATGAGGCCTAACCAAGGATATATAGAGTTGAAGAACAACCTGAGGACTTCTATTATTTATACTTCTAGATATGAAGCCAAGAATTTTGTTAGCTTTATTGTGAACACTAATGCACTGTTGTCTTGGTTGTAGATTACTGCTAACCAGAACTCCTAAATCCTTTCTGCAATCAGTAGTATTAAGATCTACATTATTTAGTTTATATGTCGCATGGTTATTTACCTGTCCAACATTTAGAACTTTGCATTTGTCAATATTAACCCTTTGAGGGTCGACAGGCCCTCTCCGAGACTTGTTCTCAGGGTCGGCCAAATTTAAAAAAAAAAAAAAAATTCTCTGACAAAAAGATAGAGAATCATTTTCCAATCATAATGACACCAAAGTTTGAAATTTGATGGAAAACTTACGGAATTATGCTCTCGCGAAGTTAGCGGTCTCAGTGATGTTCACGCATCGGCGATTTTGCCCACTTTGAGCCCCATTTTCGGCCAATTCCACTGTACTAGTCGACAAAAAACATGAATATTTCGCTAGAATTCCATTTTTTATATCAAATGAGTGCAAGAAACCACCCATTTATCAATTTCAACTATCCAGTACAGTGGTCAGAATTTAGCAATTTTGCCAATTTCACACAAATTTCAAAAGATGCCAATTTCAGAATAGGGTCCAGAATAAACAATAAAGACATTCCTGGCACTAAAATGACATTTCCTCTGTTCATTAGTCATGTCTCAAGGCCCCTCTTATATTCTTTTGCTTTCCACTTTGAATTTTTATTCTCACAAAAAATAGAAGATTTACTGTTATGCAGACTACTGCATTAGTGTAAAAAATGGTATAAATAATATTGGTGCACTTGCGAAAGAATATTAGACTTACCAGTTGACGTGTATTGGACGCTTGGCATGATTTGTTTACTTTTGAACTTTGGTAAAAATCGAACATTTCTGCTACTTTGAGCTCAATTTCAAGGTACTTTTCATTGTAAAACCAGTCAAAACCATCTCAATTTCTGTAATATGTCTTCCATTCTATAAAATGAGACCAAGAAAACTAGAATACAACAATAAATACCATACGAAAATACAGTGCAAAGTCACTGTTTTATTCCAAAAAACGGTCAAAGTTTTTTTTCTCATTATGCACTGTGTGCTGCAGGATTTTTTTTATACTGTGCGTACTGACCACACAGGCCCATTCTTTCATATGTAGGCCTACCAGCTTTCTCCCACTAGATTTGAGGGTGCTAGAATTTAGGCATACTAGTACGTAAAAAACCCTGGGTCGTAAGCCGTACTAGTACGGCCGAAACCCTCAAAGGGTTAAACTGCAGCTGCCACTTCTCCGACTATTGCATCAGTCTATTCAAATCATCCTGGAGGGAGTGCTCTAGTGTCCTCATTAGAATGAATTGGATGGCCTATTTTGGTGTCATCAGCAAATTCGCTTATGTCGCTATTTATTCCCTCATCTATGTCGTTTATGTAAATTGTGAATAACACCGGGCCCAACACTGACCCCTGAGGAACACCACTTGTGACGTGCCCCCTTTCTGATTTCTCCCCATTTATGCAAATTCTCTGCTGCTTATTTGTCAGCCATGCTTCTACCCAGGAAAAAATTTCTCCTATTCCGTGTGCCTTAAGTTTCCTCAATAGCCTCTGATGTGGAACTCTATCGAAAGCCTTAATGAAGTTCATATACACAATATCATATTCATTACCATGATCTACCTCCTCAAACACCTTAGTGAAAAAAGTTAGTAAATTTGTAAGACAGGAATGCCCCTTTGTAAAACCGTGTTGAGATTCATTAACCCTCTGACTGTCGAGGTCGTATATATACGTCTTACGAGGTGCCGTGTTTCACGTATATATACTCATAAATTCTAGCGGCTTCAAATCAAGCAGGAGAAAGCTGGTAGGCCCACATGTGAGAGAATGGGTCTGTGTGGTCAGTGTGCACCATATAAAAAAACATGGAGCATGCAGTGCATAATGAGAAAAAAAAAACTCCGACCGTTTTTTTTAATTAAAATGGTCTATTTTCGTATAGTATTTATGGTTATATTCTCGTTTTCTTGGTCTCATTTGATAGAATGGAAAACATATTATAGAATTAGAGGTGATTTTGATTGATTTTACTATAAAAAGAACCTGGAAATGGAGCTCAAAGTAGGGGAAATGTTTGATTTTTGCCGATGTTCAAAAGTAAACAAATGATGTCATTGTCTAATAAATGTCCAACTAGCCATTCTAATATGTAGTCATGAATGGGTTCATGTTATTTATACAATTATTACAGTATTGCAGTAGTCTGCATAACAGTAAATCTTCTATTTTTTGTTTGAATAAAAATTCAAAATAGAAAGCAAGAGTAATATCAGAAGGGCTTGGAGATGTGACTGATGAGCAAAGAAAATGTTATTTTAGAGCCAGGAATGTCTGCATTGTTTATTCTGGACCTTATTTTGAAATTGTCATAATTTTTAATTTTCGTGAAATTGGCCAAATAGCAAATTTCTGACCACGTTATTGGGTAGTTGAAATCAGTAAATGGGCAGTTTCTTGCACTCAATCGATAGAAAAAATGGAGTTCTAAAGAAATAGCTATGAGTTTGGTCAACTGGAACAATGGAATTAGCCGAAAATAGGGCTCAAAGTGGGCGAAATCGCCGATTTGTAAATATCGCCGAGGTCGCTAACTTCGCAAGAGCGTAATTCCATCAGTTTCCCATCAAATTTCGTGTTTTTGGTGTCATTACAATCGGGAAAAGATTCTCTATCATTTCATAAGAAAAAATTATTTTTTTTTTTTTAAATTTTGCGACACCAGGGGGTTAATCAATCTGTGCCTATCAAGATGGCTATGAATTGCTTCAGCAATTATCGTTTCCACAAATTTTCCCACTATGGAAGTAAGGCTTACTGGTCTATAGTTTCAAGCCAAGGACCTGTCACCTGCCTTGTAAATAGGTATTACATTTGCCATTTTCCACTTATCAGGCACTATGCCAGTTTGTAGTGATATGTTAAAAAAATTAGCCAAAGGTATGCTAAGTTCCTCTTTACATTCCTTTAACACCCTTGCCAACAGTTCACCAGGGCCTGGGGATTTGTTAAGTTTTAGTTTCTCTATTTAGTCTGAGGACCACGTCACTAGTTACCGCAATCGTGCATAGTTTATTATCGTCCTGTTCTACGTAATCTATTATTTCAGGAATATCGCTAGTATTTTCCTGGGTGAAAACTGAGAGGAAGTAGGCATTGAGAATTTCGCACATATCCTTATCACTGTCAGTGATCTGACCAGAGTTACTCTTAAGTGGGCCAATCTTGTCTCTAATCTTACTTCTGTATACCTGAAAGAACCCTTTTGGGTTAGTCTTTGAATCGCTTGCGACCTTAGCCTCATAATCCCTTTTTGCTTTTCTTATTCCTTTCTTTATATCTCTCTTTAATTGAATATATTGATTTCTTAACTGCCAATCCCCTCTTTTGATATGCCTATATATGCCTCTCTTTTGACCAATGAGATGTTGTAATATATTTTTCATCCATTTGGGACATTTTTGTTAGATCTAATTTCCCTACTCGGAACAAAAGTTGTCTGAGTAGCTAGAACTATGCTCTGAAAAATGTCATATTGGCAACCATGATCACCTACCTGACCCATAGTCAGGACATCCCAATTTAGCCCACCAGGTAATTTTTCAGTCCCATGAAGTCAGCCAAGCAAAAATCTGGGACAGAGATTTGATTGCAGTTATCTGGGTAATTCCATGATATATTGAAACTAAGTGGTTTGTGATCACTTTCCCCAAGCTCATCATTAACCTCAAGATTATTAATTAGTGAATCTTTGTTGGTAAGAACCAAGTCAAGCAGATTGTTTCCTCTAGTTGGTTCTGTTACAACCCATTCTAAAAAGCAATCCTGAACCGTATCAAGAAAATCTCCCATTATCACAACATTTTCATATCTAGATGCCTTATGAATTTTGTCCCATAACATCTTACTTCACTCCCTATCAAGGTTTGTGGGCCTATAAATCACACCCAAAATTAATTTGTCACGTCCCTTGAGAAACTGTAACCAAACAGATTCTGTGTTCAATGTTTCTAATCTTATATCATGTCTAAGACAACCATTTAAATTTTCTCTGACTTACATTGCCACTCCACCACCCTTCCTGTTGACCCTACCAGTGTGGAATAGTTTATAACCCTGTATGTTCAGAAGGCATTTCTCTATCTTTCAGGTTGAACCAGGTCTCTGTTATACCAATAATATCTATATTACCTACACTTGCAAGTAATCTTAGCTCATCTATCTTATTTCTTAGACTCCTACTATTTGTATAGTAAACCTTAAGGGAGCTAGTCACTCACTGCCCTCTACTATCTCTCTTTGTTTGTTGATCAGTTGATTTGCCATTACTAGCAACTTTGAATATTTGAATATTGTCTTTTAAACATATCCCTGAGGTATCCCGGTAATAACTGATGTTTTTAACCCACATGCTGCAGCCTGATTGTTTCCCACAAGCACCCATACCTCTATAATCTATCAGTTTAAATTCCTACGCAAGTCATCAATTACCCTCTCAATCGAATTGGCTAATGCAACCACTCCATCCCCAGAGAGATGAACCCCATCCCTTGCATACACATCACGTTTGCCAAAGAATAGGTCCCAGTTATCAACGAATGGGATTGTAAGTTCCTGGCAGTAACTGTCTAGCCAGCAATTTACACCAATTGCCCTAGACATCCATTCATTGCCCACTCCCTTTCTAGGCAAGATGCTACATATGACTGGAATCCCTTCCTTAGACCCAACTATTTCTATGGCTGGCCTGTACTTATCCAGCAGCTCCTCTCTCCTGCCCTTCCCAATGTCATTACCCCCAGCACTAAGATAGATAATGGGCTTGTTCCCATTGCCTGCTATAATATTATCCAACATGCTGACTATGTCACCAACACAGGCTCCAGGAAGACACACTCTCTGTCTGACCTTTCTGTCTCTGTTACAAAATGCATGGTCCATATATCTTACCTGAGAATCTCCTACTATTAAAATATTCTTACCTTGATTAGCAGGGGAATTAGTGGTACCTTCAACCTCACTAACCACTGAAGTACACTTGTCTCGGAGAACAGAGAATCGATTTCCTACCTTCACATCTTCTCTATTACTCTCCTCATCTTCCTTCTTCCTGAACTGTGAACCACTTGCCACTTAAAGCAGCTGCCACTATCACTGCTGGTGACCATTTCCTCCTTACCAGCTAAATCCTTCTCACACTCGCTCCCAAACTCAGCTATGCGAAGCTTCAGCCTCCTATTTTCCTCCTGAAGAAGTAGAACCTCCTTCTTCAATGCTTGAACCTGAGATTCTAAAACACAACAAGAAGAAATGGTGCTTGGTAACAGCCCATGCTAACTCCCAAGAGCTTAGGCAGGTATGACCACACGTGACAACTGACCTCAGCGTACTAATGTCAGAGAATCTCACTTTCAAAGATTACAACAATGTCCCGACTACATATACTGGGAAAATGATAACATGGATAATGAGAACCTTCAAAACTAGAGATGCCACACCAATGATGATTCTCTTTCAATCACTTGCTTTCTCTAGGCTGGAATACTGCTGTACACTAAACAGCCCCTTTAAAGGCAGCAGGCTAAACTGCAGACCTGGAGAATATACAGGGAACATTCACTGAATGTATAAGTACAATAAAGCACCTAAATTACTGGAAACAAATTAAGTCCTTTGTCCTGTACTTCTTGGAGCACTCCTTCACCACTCTTTTAACCTCTCTTTTACTCTCCATATACACCTCCCTCTATCTATCACTTCTATATTGTAAAAGCCTTTCATATGCCAACTTTTTCTCCCACACCACCCTCTTTACCTCACCATTCTGTCATTCACTCATCCTCACTCCTGCACCCACCCTCCTTTACCCACAAACTTCTGCTGCACATTTAAATAATCTACCCCATATCCCTCTACCCCCTTCTCTTTACCTGTACTCTCTCTAGACCACCCTTCTCCCAGTAGTTGCTTTCATCTTACCCTATCGTTTTTAATTTATGAACCTTCACTTCTTTTTACCTACCAATGACACTCTCCTAGTACCCCATTTATCTTACTATCACAGTAGCTATGCTGAATAATGATTTGATATAACTGTTGCTCACCCCTCTAAAAACATCCACATCCAGAAGTCTACCCTTCAAACAATTATCTATTAACACATATCCCAACAAACTGCTGACATTACACCCTATACAGCCTCTCCTCACTTAACGACAGAGTCCGTTCCTTAGACCATGTCAGTAAACGAATTCATTGCTAAACAAGGAGCATACTATAATGGTAGTGGGTTTGTGTCAACCATCTTTGATATTGTTTTAATGCTACCTTTGCACTATTTATAACATCTTTAGTATATTTTTAAATGTTTATACATTAGTGAACTGTATATTGTAATAAAGAGAATAGAGGAAATCAGCTCTAATATACATTATTAAGGTATGCATACTGGTCAAAGAGCCCGTCATCATTAAATGAGTACGTCGCTAAGTGAGGAGAGGCTGTATCACATTTCATACACTTACTTATCCTCCCACAACAACACTTTTCTCATTTGGTTCAAAGCTCCCTAAAAACTTAACACCTCCCAAAATCTCCTTCTCTCCTCCCAGAAGGGTAGACAGATGCATAAACATTTACTTCTACCTGCTTCACACATCCCACCCTTGTTGGAGTTCATCATCCTACCCTTGTCAGAGTTCATAGCATCCAACCTAAAGCATTACATTAATAGTTTTTAGTTTAATTGAAGTGTAATCCACTTATATCTTGAATTTATACACTTATTTTCCTTCTTTCTTTTCATAATTGATCAATTAATATTATGGCTACATCTTTGCTCAAATTCTTTTAGATACACCTGAACTCATCAAATTTACACCACCTCACTGAAATTTTCCAACCCCTTTAATTTTTCTTCACTTAAAGCTTGGGTCCAACTTCTTTTCATTCATAACATTCACATCCATGCTACACTCATGCATATTCAAACAATCCACCTTCAAAATATTCTTGGTCCTTTTAGTAATTTATACAGGAGAAGGGGTTAATAGTCCCTTGCTCCTGGCATTTTAGTCACCTTTTACGACACACATGGCTTATGGAGATAGAACTACCCATTTCCTCATGAAGATGAAAGAAAATGCTAAAGGGTGAAGAACTGAGTGTGTATACATATACATGTCCATTCACAACTGCACATATAGTATGAATTAGATACAAGTAGAAGTAGCAAGATGTTTCTGTCATCTCATGTGTCTGTCAAAACAGAAAGAAATAACACCAGAAATCCTGCCACTGTGTATAACAATTTCAGGTTTCCATTTCAAACTTATTTAGCAGGACAGTGGTACCTCCTTGGTGGTTACTATCTACCAAACTACTAACTACCAAAATGTTTGTATGTCAAATAAATACAACTAAAACTTCATACTGAGGCAGGGAAAAAAATAAGTTAATTAAGAAAGTAGAAGAGTGAATAAGGGAGGATGCTCCTTAAGTAAAGAGAGTAAACATTGTTTAATTCATCATGATGTATCCATTTTTCTCTTCGCTTAAATAGGTACTGTGAATGTAATGATAAGAGAAATTAAGCTTGGCCTCAATTATGTTGCAGGTTTGATGCCTCTGTTAACCCCACATAACTTAGGATAGTTGGGAGAGAAAAAATATACTCAAAGATAGTCGAAATTTTGAACATTAAGTAAAAATGTACTAGGCAATTTAAAATAGTGTTTATACAATTCTTTTCCATCTCTCAGATATAATTTGGTCATCCAATTAGTTTTGAAAATTAAAAAAAAACTTCATACACAAACCTTTTCTTTTTCAGACATAAGTCGTTTCTTGTCATTTTGCAGAGAGAGTTCAATTCGTCTTTTCTCTGATGACACAGTGTTTAGGGCAGAGGTCAATGCAACAATTTTTTTCTTTAAGTCTTCTGCTGCTTCTGCTGGGGTTGCCTGCTCTCCAGTGTCCTGTAACATACAAGAGAGATTTCTAAAGAGATGCATCATATTAATTTCTTAACGGTATTGAAACCTCATCGCTGAGCCTTGATTGGGGCTCAATTTCTCTGGTGTGTTATCACGGAAGGTGTCGCAGTTTCCTGGTATGTAGTAGTGACAAGTCATGAGCTGCACACAATAACATAGTGTTCCCTGACTTCTTATAACACCTCTTACCTTTCACTGAACTCCACATGTACCCTCCAACACATCTAATTATAATATGATTAAATTTTTAACTGCAAACTAGAAATTAGACAATAAATTACTTTGTAAATAATGAAGTTATTTTTTCATCAATGTGCATTCATATTTTGTTTATTCATTTTATTCATATGTAAAGGGTTCATATTTGTTTGGCAAAGATCCATATATTTAATGATTATGATCTTGTTAAATGTGGATTGTAAAAATGACCTTTTTTCACCAAATGCATTGATGTTTTGTGTATATTCATGTTATGCAGGTATTGTGGGATCTCAACTGATTGATAGAGATTGGTCAAGAGCTGTAGACTTAGTAGGTATGTTGGTTTGTTGGATGGCAGTTCAGTCATGTACCAAACATGGCTGTTGTACAGCAATTCAATTTACTTACACCACAACCTTCCCTTTACCACTACCACCTGGGAATGCAATTATCCTCATGACAAGTTTCCTTACACAATATTCAAAGGTACCTCATACTCTCACCATAACTGAGAGGGTAGAGAACATATATGAAGAGTATTGTGTCATATAAAATGGAAGGGATAGGGTGAGAGTGAGGCAGTCCAGATGCTCCCCCATACTTACACTTCTTTTACTATAACTTCCTAACCAAATACTCAACCATAACATTAAGTGACTGGAGAGCATACATAATTTGTGTCAAATATAAAGTAAAAGGGGGTGTGAGCATATGGTAGAGTGGGAGGGAGGGAGTGGGAGAGGGGAAGGTTATAAACAGGAGACCTAGGAAAATCAGAGGGAAGAGAAAAGGGAGGAAACAGGGACTTATCTGAGTACTGCACAATGTTTTCATTTTACTGTTTAGAAACAAATTAAATTATATATAGACTATTATAATTCAGAGTCCATCTCAGATTACAACATAAGTATGTGTATGTATGTGTATGTGTTGTGCGTGCGTGCGTGCGTGTGTGGTGGTTGCGTGGTGTGTGTGTGTGTTGTGTGTGTGTGTGTGTGTGTGTGTGTGTGTGTGTGGTGTGTGTTGTATACTCACCTAATTGTGGTTGCAGGGGTCGAGGCACAGCTCCTGGCCCTGCCTCTTCACCGACAGCTACTAGGTCCTCTCTCCCCCTGCTCCATAAGCTTTATCATACCTCGTCTTAAAACTATGTATAGTTCCTGCCTCCACTACATCGCTTGCCAGACTATTCCACTTCCTAACTACTCTGTGACTGAAGAAATGCTTCCTAACATCCCTTTGACTCATCTGAGTCTTCAGCTTCCAATTGTGACCCCTTGTTTCTGTGTCCCATCTCTGGAACATCCTGTCTCTGTCCACCTTGTCTATTCCACGCAGTATTTTGTATGTCATTATCATGTCTCCCCTGACCCTCCTGTCCTCCAGTGCTGTCAGAGCCTTGTTGCAAACCTTTGCACTTTCTCTAATTTCTTGACGTGTCTGACCAGGTGTGGGTTCCAAACTGGTGCTGCGTACTCCAGTATGGGCCTGACGTACACAGTGTATAAAGTCTTGAACGATTCCTGAGGTGCCAGAATGCTATTCTCAGGTTTGCCAAGCGCCCACATGCCGCAGCAGTTATCTGGCTAATGTGTGCTTCTGGCGATGTACTCGGTATTATACTCACTCCTAGGTCTTTCTCCTTGAGTGAGGTTTGCAGCCTTTGGCCTCCTAGCCTATACTCTGTCTACAGTCTTCTTTGCCCTCCTCCGATCTTCATGACTTTGCATTTAGCGGGGTTAAATTCTAGGAGCCAGTTTCTGGACCACACATCCAGCCTGTCCAGGTCTCTTTGTAGACCTGTCTGGTCCGCGTCTGATTTAATTCTCCTCATTAACTTGATGTCATCTGCAAACAGGGACACTTCTGAGTCTATCCCTTCCATCATGTCGTTCACATATACCAAGAATAGCACTGGTCCCAGGACTGACCCCTGTGGGACCCCGCTCGTCACTGGCGCCCACTGTGATACCTCATCATGGACCATGACTCGCTGTTGCCTCCCTGTTAGGTATTCTCTGATCCACTGCAGTGCCCTTCCTGTTATACGTGCCTGTTCCTCTAGCTTCTGTACTAATCTCTTGTGAGGAACTGTGTCAAAGGCCTTCTTGCAGTCCAAGAAAATGCAATCAACCCACCCCTCCCTCTCATTTCTTACTTCAGTTACCTTGTCATAAAACTCTAGTAGGTTTGTGACACAGGATTTGCCTTCCATGAATTCATGCTGGCTGTCATTTATAATCTTGTTCTGCTCCAGGTGCTCCACCACTCTCCTCCTGATAATCTTTTCCAAGACTTTGCATACTATACAGGTCAGTGACACTGGTCTATAATTTAGTGCTTCATTTCTGTCTCCCTTCTTAAACATGGGGACTACATTTGCCTTCTTCCATACTTCAGGTAGTTGCCCTGTTTCAATGGAAGTGTTGAAGATTTTGGTTAGTGGCACACGTAGTGTCCCTGCTCCCTCTCTAAGGACCCACGGAGATATATTGTCCTGTCCCACAGCCTTTGAGGTATCAAGGTCACTTAGGAGCTTCTCCACCTCCTCCTCAGTTGTGTGTAATTCCTCCAACACTTGTTGGTATATCCCTTGTTGCTGTACCCCACTGTTTTGTCTTCCCATTGTTCCTTCAGCCTCCACTGTAAATACTTCCTGAAATCTCACGTTGAGCTCCTCACATACCTCGTTTCTTGTGAGCTCCCCACATTCTTTCCTCAGCCTGATTACCTGGTCCTTGACTGTTGTCTTCCTCCTGATGTGGCTGTAGAGTAGTTTTGGGTCAGACTTGACTTTCGATGCTATGTCATTTTCATACTGCTGCTGCGCCTCCCTCCTTATCTGTGCATACTCGTTTCTGGCTCATTGACCAATCTCTTTATTCTCCTGAGTCCTTTGCCTTCTGTACTTTTTCCATTCTCTAGAGCACTTAGTTTTTGCCTCCCTTCACCTTCGGGTAAACCAAGGGCTCGTTCTGTCCTTCCCATTATTTCTGTTACCCTTGGGAACAAACCTTTCCTCTGCCTCCTTGCATTTTGTTACAAAGTCCATCATTTCGTTTACTGACTTTCCTACCAACTCTTGTTCCCACTGAACCTCCTGCAAGAAGGTCCTCATTCCCATGTAGTTCCCCCTTTTATAGTTTAGCTTTTCCCTTTCTACTCCTGTTACCCTCTCCAATTTAACTCCATGATGTATTCAAAGCTCATAACTATGTGATCACTAGCTCCAAGGGGCCTTTCATATGTAATGTGCTCAATGTCTGAGCTACTCAGGATGAACACAAGGTCAGTCTTGCTGGTTCATCCTCCCCTCTCTCTCTGGTAGTATCCCTAACATGTTGGTGCATGAGATTTGCCAGCACCACATCAATCATCTTGGCTCTCCATGTTTCGGGACCCCCATGTGTCTCCAGGTTTTCCCCAATCAATCTCCCTGTGACTGAAGTCGCCCATGACCAGTAACTTCGCTCTACTTGAGTGAGCCCTTCTTACCACCTCAGCTAGAGTGTCCACCATTGCTCTGTTGCACTCATCATATTCTTCTCTTGGTCTCCTGCAGTTCTGTGGTGGGTTATACATCACCCGACTGAACTGTACCTACTACATATTCCATTTCTTCAATCTCGTCCATACCTTCCATTTCTTGATAACTCCACTGTTTTTTTCATTAGTAGTACAACCCCTCCTCCCCACCTGCTCCTTCTATCCTTCCTCAGGATCTGATATCCGGGTGGGAAGATGGCATCTGTGTGTGTACTCACCTAATTGTGGTTGCAGGGGTCGAGACCCAGCTCCTGGCCTTGCCTCTTCACTGATCGCTACTAGGTCCTCTCTCTCTCTGCTTCCACAGCTTTATCATACCTCGTCTTAAAGCTATGTATGGTTCCTGCCTCCACTACATCACTTGTTAGGCTATTCCACTTCCTGATGACTCTATGACTCAAGAAATACTTCTTAACATCCCTATGACTCGTCTGAGTCTTCAGCTTCCAACTGTGACCCCTTGTTTCTGTGTCCCCTCTCTGGAACAACCTGTCTCTGTCTACCTTATCTATTCCACGCAGTATTTTGTATGTCGTTATCATGTCTCCCCTGACCTGCCTGTCCTCCAATGTAGTCAGTCCGATTTCCCTCAACCTTTCTTCGTAGGACATACCCGTGCTCCGGAACTAGCCTTGTTGCAAACCTTTGCACTTTCTCTAATTTCTTGATGTGTTTGCCCAGGTGTGGGTTCTAAACTGGAGCTGCATACTCCAGTATGGGCATGATGTACACAGTGTCTTGAACGATTCCTTACTAAGGTATCAGAATGCTATTCTCAGGTTTGCCAGGCACCCGTATGCTGCAGCAGCTATCTGGTTGATGTGTGCCTCCGGAGACATGCTCAGTGATATGGTCACCTCAAGATCTTTCTCCTTGAGTGAGGTTTGCAGTCCTTGGCCGCCTAGTCTATACTCTGTCTGTGGTTTTCTTTGCCCTTCTCCGATCTTCATGACTTTGCACTTGGCAGGGTTGAATTCAAGAAACCAGTTGTTGGACCATGTGTCCAGCCTGTCCAGGTCTCTTTGAAGTCCTGCCTGGTCCTCATCTGATTTAATTCTCCTCATTAACTTCACATCATCTGCAAACAGGGACACCTCTGAGTCTATCCCTTCCATCATGTCATTCACATATACCAGAAATAGCACTGGTCCTAGGGCCGACCCCTGTGGGACCCCGCTCGTCACAGGTGCCCACTGTGATACCTCATCCCGTACCATGACTCGTTGTTGCCTCT